GAGCAGATGCTGCACGCAAAACCGGTGCATGACGAACGGAGTCATCAGTCCTAAGTGCTGGGCCTACAAGGAGAGAGTTATTAATGGGGTGGGGAGAGGGGGAAGAAAAAGTATGTGAATGAGAGAGAAGGGAGGCGTCAGCAGTAGCCTGTTTTCGCTTACCCGCCCTGCTGTATGCAGCAAGTAAGGCGACTCGACTGATGGCACCACGCGACGGCCGATGTGGCATGAGTTTATTTGTGTATGTGCAATTCATGGTTGTACGTGGGCTGGGATACTGCCAGGGCACGCACACCTAGACAGGAGGATGATTAGGGTCCTCAGCCAAAGCCTTTGGCTCAAAAGCCTAACCGCAAGGCAGCGGTGTTTGGCGAGAAGTGCAAATGCATTATCACTTCTACGGAACAAGTCACCACATGTTCCAACCCCCAACCTGGAGGGCCAGGAGACTGTGTTCGTCAGACCTCTAGCCATTGACCAACCTGGTATGAGAGAGTGGGTGGGTGTCTCACGACACTCTCCAGTATAGCTCAATGGATCGCTGAGGTGCGCAATCCGTCACACCACGGTAAGGTCCAGTCTCTTCATGACGGTTTGCCTCTGACATGTTCAACTAGCGGCTGCTGATACACATCCGTCGATTACAGAGGTACTGAGTACAAAAAATCCAACTATTGACGTTACACAATCTATATGCTGACGTGCTTTTGGGCCACAAAATCCTTGGTCTACATAACAAAGTTGAAATCACCGATGGTAACCGAGTCCCATTCACCCGCTGCGGTCCAACTGCTGCTACGGTTGAATCATCTTATTTAGCTCACGCCTCACCTGATTGCCAGTCCATCGGTACGAAGTCACGGTAACGATGAACAGTTCATTCGCTCTGAAATTAGCCGACTATTGGATAAAGGCATAACTAAACCTTCGAATTCTCCCTTAAGGGCTCTATTACTTGTAACGAAAAACTCAAACCACAAAAGACGCATGAAAAATCGTTCAACATGACGAACGGAGTCATCAGTCCTAAGTGCTGGGCCTACAAGGAGAGAGTTATTAATGGGGTGGGGAGAGGGGGAAGAAAAAGTATGTGAATGAGAGAGAAGGGAGGCGTCAGCAGTAGCCTGTTTTCGCTTACCCGCCCTGCTGTATGCAGCAAGTAAGGCGACTCGACTGATGGCACCACGCGACGGCCGATGTGGCATGAGTTTATTTGTGTATGTGCAATTCATGGTTGTACGTGGGCTGGGATACTGCCAGGGCACGCACACCTAGACAGGAGGATGATTAGGGTCCTCAGCCAAAGCCTTTGGCTCAAAAGCCTAACCGCAAGGCAGCGGTGTTTGGCGAGAAGTGCAAATGCATTATCACTTCTACGGAACAAGTCACCACATGTTCCAACCCCCAACCTGGAGGGCCAGGAGACTGTGTTCGTCAGACCTCTAGCCATTGACCAACCTGGTATGAGAGACTCTGTGGGTGTCTCACGACACTCTCCAGTATAGCTCAATGGATCGCTGAGGTGCGCAATCCGTCACACCACGGTAAGGTCCAGTCTCTTCATGACGGTTTGCCTCTGACATGTTCAACTAGCGGCTGCTGATACACATCCGTCGATTACAGAGGTACTGAGTACAAAAAATCCAACTATTGACGTTACACAATCTATATGCTGACGTGCTTTTGGGCCACAAAATCCTTGGTCTACATAACAAAGTTGAAATCACCGATGGTAACCGAGTCCCATTCACCCGCTGCGGTCCAACTGCTGCTACGGTTGAATCATCTTATTTAGCTCACGCCTCACCTGATTGCCAGTCCATCGGTACGAAGTCACGGTAACGATGAACAGTTCATTCGCTCTGAAATTAGCCGACTATTGGATAAAGGCATAACTAAACCTTCGAATTCTCCCTTAAGGGCTCTATTACTTGTAACGAAAAACTCAAACCACAAAAGACGCATGAAAAAATCGTTCAACTGTAGCGTTCTTTTGGTGCTTAACTACCTTGCCATCCGGAGGTTTTATGAGGGTTGGGATACTGCCAGGTTGCCCAAGCCTAGACAAAGGAAGTCGGAAGGCAGAGGTCTGGTTCAAACCACGGACCTTCCGGTCAGTAAATTCGCGCTCTACCCACTTGGGCCATCTCGCCCGAATCAGTAATCAGTTCACATATCTAGACACGATTGGATAAACTGATAGGAGAAATTTCCCTCCATGCTGTGTTTAGCACCTTGGACCTATCGAGTGCATACCATCAAGTTCCGGTCAGTGCGAAAGGCAAACCGTATAAGCCTTTAAAGCATGCGGAAAACTGTCTCAATTCCGTCTTATTCCTTTCCTGTAACCAACGAAGTGGCATGGTTCCAGTGTTCTATTGACCACAAGTCTGAGAACTTGAGTGGCACCTACGTTTACATCGACAACGTCACTATTTGTGGGATTACCCAAAGCGAGGCTGACCGGAACCTTTCTATGAAGTACTAAAATATGGAATTACCCTTAACTGAAAGAAAAGCATCATAGCAGCCAAACAAGTACGCCTTTTCGGCTATGAACTCTGGAGGAATTATCAAACCAGATCCTGAACGAGTGTGGCTCAATTTTCAACCCCCTTCATACATATGACGCTGAATCCCAACAACAAGGTGTCGGCCTGTTTGCTTATTATTCGAAATCGATACCATACTTCTCTGACAAAATCAGTGTGCTTGCCAGAAATGATTTGCCCCTTACCAGAGCGTCCTTCGAAAATTTAAGGGAGTTAAAGAACGCTGTTTGTGACAGTCAACTACAATGCAACCTTGGTTGCCGAAATAAACACTTCAGACATGGCCACTGCTGCATCTCTGGCTCAGAACGGCCGACGGGTAGTTTTCTTTTCTAGCACACTGACACCGAGCGAAAAGAATCACTCTGCTATCGAGAAAGAGGCATACGCCATCGCTAGATCCATCCGTAAATGGAAGCATTGTCTCTTCGGGAAGCACTTCAAGCTTATCACTGACCAGCTTTCAGTTTTCTTCATGAATGGTGTGTTGCAGAAAAGCATGATAAAAAACAAGAAAATCCAGCAATGGAAAGTGGAACTTTCCGCTTTTAGTTACGATGTCAGCTACAGACCTAGAAAAGACAATCTGGTGGCTGACACCCTATCGCGTAACCTATGCGCTAATGTGATCGGCAATGACAGAAATTCATGATTCCTTATACCGACTCGGAATTACTCGCATGCATCGCTTTGTTCCTTCCAAAAAACTTGTCGTTCTCCCTCCAATACATCAAAGACATCACCACGAAATGTACGATTTTCGCCGCCATCAAACTGCACTTTTACAAACCACCATCTGCCTGCTCACCCAAGCGACTCAACAATACGAACGAATTAGCGTCGATTTTAAACGACCTCTGCCTTCTATTACACGAAACCGATATATCCTTATTACCATTGACAAGTTGTCCCGTTTTCCGTTTGCCTTTCCCCGTGCAGATACATGTGCATCTACGGTTATAGTCTTTGTTTGGTATGCCTGCATATGTACATTCAGATCGTGCCTCCATTCATATTTGACGAACTGTCCGCATTCCTACATGACAGAGGAGTTTGTACCAGCCGAACAACTGCTTATAATTTCCAGGGAAACGAGCAAGTCGAACGCTTCAACGGTACATTATGGAACGCAATCCGGCTCATACTTAAGACGAGAAACTTTCAATTCTATCACTAGAAGTCGGTTCTATCTAATGTCCTCAACTCTATACTGTCCCTTCTCTGTCTCCACGAATGTCACTCTACATGAACGAGTATTTCGGTTTGAACGTTGGTCTTCCTGTGGTTTGTCTATACCAACTTGGCTAACTATTCCAGGACCTGTTTTACTGAAAAGATTTAACTGTGCCTCATAGTGTGACCCAATCGTTGAGGAAATCAAAACCTTCAAATTGCAGTGTGATCGAGACAGCTCACTGGTTAGAGCGCGAATTTACCAACTGGAAGGTCCGTGGTTCGAACCCGACCTGTGTCTCTCAAATTCCCTTGTCTAGGCTTGGGCAACCTAAAAAATCTTTCAGTTGTAGCACCCTTTCGGTGCCTAACTGCCATGCCACCCGAAGGTTGCACGAGGGCTGGGATACTGCCAGATTGCCCAAGCCTAGACAGGCAACCTTGCAACCCGTTTCTTACGAAGCTTTGATGTAAAAAAGGCACTAATCCGGTTCGGATCCACGGTGATTCCGGTTGTTTTGTAATTAATATAGATTTTCCAAAATGTTTTTTCGTGACAAAAGTTCATCTCGTCACTTAAGATTTCCACAATGACCGGAGAGGAAGGAAAAGCAGATATATAGCTCCATGTATAGCGTTATTATCCTATTTATTTGTTCCTATTTGCACTGCGAAGACTGCATATCGGCCGATGTGCCCTCAAGTAGTGGGTTGAATGGCAAAGTTCAGACTGGTGGCTTGTCGCATTTAAGAAGGAGGTGCAACGTTAGTCTGGAATGAGAAGAAGCGGAGTATAGCACGCCAGCTCTATGCGTTATATCTGCCTACTGTTCCCGCTCCGGAAGAAGACTCAACGATAGCGAACAAAACAGGTTTATTGCGAACAAACGAGTGCGTGCGAGTGTGACACTTACAAAGGAGTTCACGCTATTTGAATTTTACTTTCATCAATCCAGACTGTTGTTGAGTTGATCAAATGCTTGATTGGCTTGGATGCTTGCCGGCCTTCCTATTGAGACTTTGGTGAAGCTTTAGGGTCTCAGTAGGCTCCGAGCATTTTGGGTTGCCATAAAAAAACTGACCTTCCTGATACTACGGGTGCGAAAGCTCTCTCTTCGGGTTGATTCCATCCTTGGACTAGGAGTTCAACCACTGTTGTTTACACGGGATCGGTCGCGTTTGGTAGCTACCACGTATGAATAGTGGTGCGTTCTACGTGTTCTACGTAACAGCAAGAAGACGGACTTGGTGGACGTTATTATTGGAGTCCTACAAATGTGGTCCAACCAGAGTTGGCCCAAAGTGCTCTATTTGCCTCGGCAGGATACGGATGGTGTTGATACAACGAATGATGTAGAAACGAAGGATGGCCACAACTACCTTCCAGACTTTCTAACCGCCTTGACGATGTATTTCCCGCCACCTTATTGTGCTCCGCTGGACCCGATTCGTCCATGCCGCACTCACAATCGTTAATATACAACTTCTCTGTGCTCCTCCAATCACTAATATCAGGTTTCAGCCCCTCATTCCCTCATTAACTTTCCACAAGTTTGCCTGTGTTTAGGATCCTCTTCCACTTTGGTTACTTCTCCGTTCTAGCGTAGTTTTTAGTGTCTCATTGCTTGGTTCGTGTTTTAAATTCCGGTGAGCAACATGATGTAGTGTGACAGCCAGATATGAAATGGCACCAGTTCGGTTATAGGATAGTTTCCACCTCATTCAGTAGCCAGACGGAGGTTAAGCCCTGTTTGGGTGGGCGAATATATCATTATTGTCAATGACTGACCATTTGGGTGTGGCTGAGATACCAAGCGATATGCAATATATATATATATATATATATATATATATATCT